CAGGGAAATGAGAAATATCACCCTAGTTCACAATTGCTTTCTTTTAACTGACTGACTGTCCTGTCAGGTATCCATATACTGGGCATTCACAGGCTGCTGGTGCACCAGCCTTCTGCTTTCATTCTTCTTTCTCTACAATACTCAGAAAAATTATTACATTTTTGTCTTTTAAGTGTGCCACACCACAAAACCACTGTGTTTAAAAAACTTACCCTAGAACAAACAAAATAGGTCATATTTGGCAGCCTGAAAATATATCATGAGGGACCTATCCTGATGCCTGAAGTAAGAGTAGAAGGCAACAGGGAGGTAGGAAAACCTCAGACATAGCGGATGAGCTTCCAGCCTATCTACACACGTGCTCCTGGTGCTGGTCAATAACCAGGCGTTTCAGAACAGAATCTGTTCCCTTCTGTGGTTTGAACTTACTGTATTTTTCCTTCCCACTTGTAGGCTGGCTGCAAACACAAAGATTTGCATAAGCCACAGATTTTGTCTGTCTCTTTGAAAGGTCAAAAATTAGAAGCAACACAAACAAACACACGTGACAAAAAGGCCAGCTGGCAGCAATTTGGAGTGACCGCACGGAGGAAATGTGGAGAAGAATAAGGGCAGCATAGGAGCTTTTAAAAGTCTGCATCATACATATATTGCAAATTACAGGATGCCTTGGGGGAATTTTCTTTCCCTCAAATCAGCTTTGCATCTTTGCAAAGATTAGTGACCAACTACCCAGATTTAGTGCTGTCATGTTTCTGTAAACATTTCTGAATATACTTTCTTTGATAAAAGATACAGCTGCTGACATGATTTTTAATATAAACATTTCACTACACATTACTTACTATGGAGAAGTCTTAACAGTTTTATTTGTAAGAGACCACTCATTCTCTTCTGCACTATTCAGCATTGCCTTAGGAAAAATGAATACGCAGCCCAGAGGAAGGCAGGTAGAAGAAGTAGAGACGTGAGTAAGATACTTCCCAAAAAGCAATGGTTGTTGTTCAAGGACATGATAAGAGTAAGTACGAAGGCAGAGAAGCATTTGTTGTCCCATGTAGCTTCAGCAACCAGAGCAAAACTACCAGATCAACTTAAAATCCAAACTCAGATGCCCAGCTGGTGTTTATCTGCACAATCCTCATTACCTGCAGAGGCCTCTGCCAAACTGCAGCAACTAAGGAGTTGACCGGATTTTTATTACTAACATCACTATGACCTATTAGCATCAGAGGGAAATAATTGAATCCACAGTGCTTCTCCTGATTCCTTGCTGTTTGTGTCCTGCAAGAGCCACAAAACCCAGTCAAGGGGGTTTCACTTTTCTTCATGGTCAGGTGGGCTCCAGGTGCTTATGCTGGAGGTACCTGGGGCTGCAGCTATTGCAGGGAACGGCTAAGAGCAGGTCTTTCCCCTGGACTTGGATTTAATTAATTGTACCATTTCTGTTGATCTTGAGTTTTATACAGACGTTGGCTGTATATTTTATGTTGTCAGCAAAATTGAATTTGAGGGCCAAATTCGGTTTAGACTGGCTCTCACTGAACAATAAAGGGAAGTACTGACTTAAGTTTAAGCAGTCAAATGAATACTTTCAAAGAAATAAAGCTTTAAAATGTTTGTCCAACTAGAGTAAGATACAGTCACTTATTCTCTGCAAGAATTATCACCACGTACTGTGTGGAAATTAGAAATGTGAGTTGACTGACGACTACCTGAGCAGTCACACTGAGATTTTCTGTGCTCATGCTTTCTGGCCAGATGTCTTCACTTCATCTCAAAACACTGTTTTGAACAAATGTTTGCTGATTATTCTCTATTCCAATGTGAGGGAAACAAAAATAAGAAAACTTCCCATTACGACTCAACCAAAAGCAACATACTGAATGCTTCTAAAGTAGTCTCAAACTCTAAATATTACAGATTATGTAACATCGTCAGACATCTGTCAAATACAAAAGCAGGTTCTAACACGCTTCTCTCCAAACCCACAAAGCAATTTCCATCTGAGTGCTGGAACTTGCACCAGGATGTAATATACTCTTCAATATATCTCATTCTACCAAGAAAATCTGGGCCCACTGCTACAGGAATACACTTAATCTCTGTAAGCAGATGTCAGCCTCCAAAGCTGAGATGACTTTGTTCTTTAGGAACAGGGAATTTAAAGTGCAAGAAGCTGAAAAGTCCCAATGAATTTAGTAACCTAAACCCAGAAAGGAAGCACCTGTGTTCTGAATTAGCCATGCAATTAAAATCCTGCTGCCGTTGCATGTGTTCATAACTCAATGTGCATCGTCTTTTGCTAATTAACAGTATACTACCTACGGTCGAACAGCTCCGCAGCTACAAAAGAAAAGAGGGACCTGCTGAGAGCAAGAGCTCTCAAGCCTGGAGCACTGTTCAATCAGACTGAGAGTATTCTTAAAGAAAACTTTTAAAAATATGAATTGTTCTAAAAAGACTTAATTCTAGAGAATATAAAGCAAAAGGCCGCTTTGAGGAAACATGTGAGACTGGACGTTTGGCTGGTGTAAAATCACAGGGCTCCACTAACTTTGGTGGAATGATGCCAATTTACCCCAGCTGTAGCTTTGGACCCCGCATCCCCCTTTCAAATATCCAGCCGCATCACCCCTCTCTCCATGACCCACCACAATTTCCAGTTTGAAAAATAAGAGCACCCCACTTCATTTTACTGCTGCCAAAGCAAGGCTCCCTCCCATCTCTTTGCCAACTGTCCTGCAGGGAGCTTCTTCCCAGTGTGTTCACCAGGAAGAAAACACTGTAGCTGCCCCTGCAAAAACAAACATCGTTGCCACGGCCAACGATGAGAAAATGCCCCACGGAGCCTCGGATGAGCAGCATCTCACCAGGGTTTTCCAATGGGAACAACCTCCTCCTCAGCCTTCCCTCAGAAATGAGGTTTTCGTTGCTGGAACCAGCAAGCAGCACACACGAGGCAGGCAGGCTCCCAGTGTCCTCATCCCATCAGCAGGGAGCCCAGACTCAGTCTGGGATACGTCCAGTGTCCCCTGCCTGCAGGAAGGAAAATTCAAGTCCCAAAGGCTGTGCTCCACGGGACAGGAGTTTCTATCACCATCCGACTTCTCCTCATTCCCGACATCCAACAGCAGTTTCCAATATTAGGCGCAGGGCCCCGATCCTCATTCACCTCTGTTGAAGGAGATTTCTGCTGACCCTGGGGCCAGCAACAAGCCACATGGCCACTGGCACAAAGCACCATCCGTCTTGTTTACGTTCTGTAGGTCACTACTGTCTCAGTAAAAAGTAGTCAGATCCCCAGCTAAAAATAGGATCCCGCTACACATCTCCTGGGGCAAGGAAGACTCGGCAGGAGCAGAAGTCAGTAAGAGAAGGGCGGTGTCTCTAAGGATTTTCAGGGGACTGGTTGCAGATTAGTTACTTTTTGCAGAAATTATATGTGTATTACACACACACAAAGGATATTGATTTGGAAGTCTAAAATTTTTCAGTGTTAATCTTAATTATGGATAGAACTGTCACTGCTATTGTTGAAATCTATATTAATAACACCAAAACATTTTAGATGATAGCATTAGATAATCCTAATAGCAGATAGAACTGCCGCTCTGCTATCATTAAAACCCTGCGTTCATATTTAAGGTTTTCCATTGTAAAGACCTCTTTCCAGCTGTTTGGTAGAATTTGAGAGAATTAAGGCAGCTGAGCTGAGGAGAACAAGCCACTTTCACCTAAGATCTCCAGCCTGCTGGTGCCGCAGTCGGAAAGCAGGAGTAAGAAAGGCTGGGCTGCCGGCGGGGCCCGCGGCAGGTCTGTGCATCCCGTGCCCGGCAGCGTGCCCGCCTCGGGCCAAGGCTTCGGCTCTGCCGGCTCCGCATCCCAGCTCCTGCCTCCCAGCCTGCCTGCCTGGTACCGCTGCCAGGCGCCTTCCCGGTGACCCTGTCGTTTCGTGCTCCCGTCCGGCTGCTCTGCCACACAGGGCCACAGTTGCTCCCAGATTCCTGCCAGTTGCCACACCACAAACACCCACCAGCCCCGCTCCTCACCTCTGCCAACCACCTCTGGGGCAGCCCTGGGGCCAACCATGCCAGGCTGTTTCTCCCTGTTTTGTGTTGCCTTTGGAAGAGTACATAAAGCCCAAGGAAGAGGCTCAGCTGGCTTTAATCCCACATCTGTCCCTGCAAGACTAAAGCAGCAATTTTGGAGAACTTAAATTGCTGCTTTGACAGACTCGCTGGATAGGCAACAGCAAACACCAGCAAGCCCTCACAGAGCACACACGCCAAAATCCTCCTCCCCACCCCACCAAACGCAGACCCTGCATCACCACAGAAGACTGCCCCAAGAGTGGCTCCTTCTGACATGGTTACCCCCTTCCTCTCATGTTCAAAAGCAGGAGGCCACAAGTGACAAAACTATGGGCCATGAGCCAAACCAACCCATAATACGTTGTCATCAGACATAGGTTCCCAAGCCAGCCAAGTCCCAGGAGAACCAGGCTTCCCAAACTGGTAGGGAACACCAGAGAAGCTTGTCTCGCGTGTAGGCCCTGGAGTCCCTCACATAAAGGTGAAAAACACAGGGACGAAAGTAGCTCTCGCTTCCCAGGGGAGCCCTGCAGCCGCACGTGCAGGTAGTGGTACCGGCCAGCGCGGCGCCGAGCTCCGGCTGCACGCGTTCAGGCCAGCGCACAGGCTCTTCCTTTAGCTAAGGGGCCACAGCAAAGTGCACGCACCTAAAGAGGAGAGTTAGGATTAGACAAACAGCCTCCATTCTGACACTTCTCCTGTTTAGCTTGATGAAGTGAATGTTATTAGCGTTAGAGTTTGAATGGAGAGGTTGGGACAGGTACAATTCTTATTACTTTTTTCTGAAGGGTCCACAAAATAACAGATGAAAAAACTTTTAAAGAAAGCAACAACAACAAATATATGTTTTTCCATATAAATTAACCAGAATTCTGCCAAAAGATCCATAGACAAAAGATTCCTTACCTGTATATTTTGTATACAGAAATCTTCAATATCTTGCTACATTAAAGTCAGTGTTCTTTTGTTTCCTCCATCCAGAATTCCCCTCCATCAGAGCTCTAGCCTTCTCAGATGTCTATCTGTATTTTTTTGCAGAAGCCTTTCCTTTTCTTTTGCTATTCTAGAAGTCCATAGCAAAAGCCAAGAATCCCCCACAACTACTGCAAATCCCCAGTCTCTATTCTGATTTAAGAATGGTTGTGACAGTACAATATCATCATACTGCACTTATCCTTGAAAACATGTAACTCCAATTCAACAATCCTATTACATATGCTCCTAGCATTTGTACAGAAAAGATTTAGCTCTTAGCTCTCCATTGCTTTATCTCTGTGTTCGCCAGTGCAGAAATTATCTCAGGCTATAGACAGGTCACATCCAAATGCTTCTCCTATCTTGCAGCAAATCTGGAAAGAAAAGCAGCTGTCACGTAGCTCACACCACACCAACAGTCAAGCTTCCTTGCTCAGCTTTTAATATCCACCCTCGGAAACGCAGTGGGAAGAGCCGGTTACGCTGTTTCCCTGGTGTTCTCTCACTAAGCCACTTAAGTTATCGAAAGGACAACTTGCACAATCAAGGGGTCTGCTCAACTCCCTCCTGAAGAAAACAGAGCAGAAGGAACCCGTGTCCCTTTGTGAGGACGACCAGGGTCACTTCTGATGTGACGGCAGCAAGAGCCCAACAAACCAGGGGCAAAGAGCCCATCCAGAACAGCAGAGGGGAGAACCCCAGGCAGCCGTTCAACTCTACTCTCTTCTACATTTTACTCTGATTCCCCAAACTGCACTTATATTTCTTACCTTAGGAACATTGCCAGCTGCTCATGACCTTTTATGAGATCAAGGTCCTATTCATGCAGACTCGCTGTTCTTGTCAGCAACGTGAACCACTGCACAGCTCACTCCATCTCTCAGCAAGACCTCCACCTCCTTCATAAAAGAACTGGAGCTAAAACACTCATTTCATTTATTCCAAGTGCACTGTTCCAACCTGCCTATTTCCCATGATATATATTTGCATTTCTTGAATCATCTGCTACATCTAATAACAAAAACCTGTTTTAATGCTGCTTTGCCACTCACCTGCTAGAGACATCTCCTCCCTGTTTTATTGCTGTACCCCATTCTGCGCTATTGCCCAAGATCTGTCTCTTGCCTCATGCCATTTTTTCCCTCATATCACACCTCCAACACATTCTTGACAACTCATACTGTAGTCACTATTAGCAAGTCTAAACTCTGACATTCGCTGGAGAGACACCTCTATCTCCATGAGAATATCAGCCTGGCTTTCTAACTATGCAGCTCTCAGCAGTTCAAATGCTGCAACCATGGGACAACCAGCTCTCTCTGGAAAGGCTCCCCAGCCCAATCTTTACTCATTATTTATATCTATTAAGGTACTAATTACAGTTTCAGGTGCTTTTTACTTGCATTGCAGCAGCCCCATTCAGACACCAGTAATTGTAACATAGAGAAGAAAGGGTACATAGTGAGAGGGATCCACAAGGTGTTTATATCTGTATTTATAACACCACCAACTAAACACTCATAATAATATTAAAACAAGAAGATAGGAGATGTTACTCAGGATACACTGTCAGTATTAGCTCTGTCACTATTAGTATGAGGGCTGCACCCGTGTGGCAGTCAAATCAGCAAATCAGATCTGCCCCAAAACACACCTATGGGCACCATGTAATTTTCCAGCCAGGTCAGGTTGCTAATCCACCTGACCATGCAGCCCTGGGAGAGGTGGTGCTGGCACAAGCAACATGGCAGGAACGCGTGGCCCCAGGAAAGGGGAGGTGGAGCAAGACCATCCCCTTCAACAGCAACTCAGACTTGAAGCACAAGAGATGATCTAGACTCTCTAAAAGGTCACTTTATTTCTACGTGAAAAGCAAGTCCAGAGAAATGGGGGTAACCCCAGGGAATACACCGCAGTCAGCCCAAGCCACAGTCCCGCAACAACAGAAATGCTGCTCAGAACAGCTTCTCTTTTGTTTTTGTGTTTTGTTCTGTTTTTCTCCACCAAGTCGCTAGCAGGGATTGCTGCTTCAGCTTCAGCACCCATGGGAAACATCCGATCATGTCCTGTGAACACAGCTCCCACTGCACAAGGAGTCCAATTTCAATTACTGGAGCCCTTGTCTCACGAAGGACATGGCCCTGTCTGAAAAAACAAAAGTCCACAATGTGTCTGGGGATAATCCCAGCCTATGTTGCCACGCAGCCTTTTCCACCCTCCCTTTGCCTTCCTTTCCTGGTGGGCTCATTCCCTGCGGCTCTGCGCGGCCAGCAGCCTGCCTGCAAGGTACGCCTTGTGCGGCCCCAACCCCGTGACCCCTCTGTTTCCGCCCCTCATTCCTCACCCTCTTCCTCTCCCTTCTCCTCCGGCCCTTTTCCACCAGCCCACAAACAGGCTCTTTGTCCTCCGGTGTGACTCCCCCCACTCGCCCGTGCCCCGGCCCGCAGGCCCCATCGCGCTCCTCACTGTCCCACGGGGCAGGTCCCGGCCCTGCTGCCCCGCAGGCTGCCGGCAAACGCGGGTCTTCCCACGGGCTCCCACTGGCCCCATCTTCCCCAGAACCCGCTCCGCGGGGAGCCTTGAGGAGGCTGGCCAGGGTTTCGGTTCCTGCCGCCTGCTCTCTCCAAGGGTGGGCCGCACCTCCAGGTGACAGCGCTGCTCCATGCGCCCCATCCAGCTCCATGTGTCCCCCCTCTCCCCCACCTCCGCATGAAACCGGCTCTTTCCTCCCGGTTGCCCCGGCTTAGGAACTGCACCATGCTGTTTAAACACCATGCTACGTTTAGGAATACATAAGCCTCAGGAGAACCCAGGTTTGAGTTGAAGCGAAGCCTAGCCCTGAACGCAGGCGCTGGCACTTCAGACACGCGCCACGAGGCAGGGATTTCACCTGCTCAGGTTGCACGGCCACCCTTCCCACGTGCACAGCAGCACTAGCCCCGCACCATGAGGTACATTCCCTGTCTTCACATCATCCCCCTTCCCAAACCCATGACTCTGTGCTGCGTTCGCCCTGCTGCCCCTCGCCTCAGCTTCCCGGTGAGGCCGGCACAGCATCTGCTCCAGCAGGGCCCCGCTCCGCGAGGCCTCGAGGCCACGCACGGCACCAGCGTTAAGCAAACAGCAGCGGCGGCGATAAACCGTCTCGCTGGATTCCTGTCTTGTTACCGCATTTAAATTCCAGCCCCTCTGGCTTATCTGCAGGGCAGCGGCGTCAGGGCAGGCGCCCCACGGGCACCCGCCGTGGCTGAAGCTGGGGCAGGCTCGCGGCGCTGCGGGAATAGGCTGCCCACGCACTGCTCGGCACGAGGCCTTGCAAAGGACACGCGGCACCTCGGAGCCCCGCTGCAGCCCAAACCCAAGCGTCGTAGCCCGGAGGGGGAAAGCACAAGCACAGGGATCTGCACAAGGTCAGGCTCGATTAAGGTCTTCCCCTTTGATTTCTGTCCTACAGGAGATTTTCCAGAGCAAGGGCAGGCTCTTGTAGAAATGCCTCCTGGCTAAACACGCTCACATATGCTCCCAGCAACGTGAACTTGCTTCTGCAGGTACCTTTGGCAGAACCCCTCGCACAGGAGGTCACAGGTTCCCAAGGCCACCTAGACCAAGGGTCAGGAGTCACAGGAGTAGACGATCAAAGCCACACTTCTGGTCTTAAATTCCTGCGAATCTACGTACAAAATGGTTCAAACGCAGCAAGCTCCTAGCTGCTTGTGTTTTCGGCTTTCGCTTCCAATCAGCCTCTGTGTCGCTACTAGTTTTCTGTCAGTACTGCTCCTTTTGTTTCCTGGCCCTGTCCTTGGCTCTGTGCCTCTCATTTCACTGTTTGCTACATTTCCAAAATTCTTTTCTCTGTGCCCCTGTCCAGCCTTTCTCTTCCTTCAAACTTAATATTTGCAATGTAACATTTCTCTAAAACCACCTTTTTTTCCCACTCCATGGAAGTGCTTTCTCTATGGTAGCAGCAAGATCTGGAAGTGTTTACACAGGACCGAGCACAACGCTTCTGGACCAATGTTACAAATAAATCCTTCCACAACATGTGCCACAATATTAACCAAAATGCAACACACATGCCAGATTACTGTTTATACACACACACATTTATATCAAAATGCTTGTAAATGCTTTTTTGAGGGGGAGTTTGGACCAAATGAGCTCCAGAGAGCCCTTCCAACCTAAATTATTCTGTGATGCTATAATCTTTTTGGCAGCAGAATGAACAGTAGACCTGGAAGACGCGTTTTGCAGCTGACGGCACAGGAGAGGTCTTCTTCCCTGCCCTGCTGCAGCTCCATTAAAAAAAACACTTCTTAAAATCAAAAGAAAGATCCTTCATCAAAGGTCTTCTTTTGCCACGCACCAAGGAATCAACCAGCGAAAACTGTGATGTAAAAAGGCATCACATGAGACAAAAGTAGATAATTATAATTGCTTAAAAATGAAGGAACATCGCTATTCTATCACATACCATTATTATATCACCTGAAAAATTTACAAATGTAAGCCAAGAGCAAAGGTGCTCTTAGCGTTCAGATTTTTTTTTTCATATTTTTCCTATCTTTGGGATCTCCTTCAATGGGGGAGGAAAATAAGGTGATTATTGAAAACATTTATGACCCTCTCCTAAGGAAATCTGGAGGTTACAGGGGGGTAGCCTAGGGGGATGGCCGGGTGGGCTGCGTGGAGCAGAGCCCCAGCCTGCAGAGCAGGACATGCAGCTACAGCTGCTGCCAACCCTGTCCCGTCGGTGCCGCACGCGGCAGTTGTCTCCTTGCTGGTGGGAGGACGAAGCTGTCTCTGCTGGTCACATGTGATACCCTAACTCCACGAGTCCCCTCTTCTCCCCAGTGGATGGATGCCCTCTAAGCCTCTGTAGAAAGCAAAATTCAGCCCATACAGAAATGCAGGCTCTGTCCTATTTCAGTCCTACAGGTGCCTGTACTTCTCGCCGGCTCTCCCGCAGGACGGTTTGGCCTCTGGAAAGGGGCCCCTACTTAGCTAGCACCAGTAAGGGAGATAAGTTTGATAATGCAGCTGCCACTGGGATTTGGAAATGTCACTCCCACACCTAGCAGATGCAATTTGCTCATTCCTCATTTTAGAAAAATGTACTGAAGCTCCTTTTGTAATAGATGCAAAGTGTTTCACAAGGTAGGTAGCCTTATTTTGAAGAAGAAAAAAAAAAAGGAAAAAAAAAACCACACACATTCCTTTTGTATTGAAATATGTTTTAATTAATGCTCTTGAATAGATTTAAACTGTTTTATCCTTTTTAAAGAAACTTTTCAAGGGACAAACCATGTCCTTAAATAAAGCCCATGTAGTACTGTGCTGAACTAAAAACGCCCAAAACCAAGATGAAAGAAAGAGCTGATTTCAAGATGGTGGATCTTCCACCTGCAATATTTGCCCATGACTTTA